TTTTCAATTTTTTTTTACCATATTCAACAAACCAAACTCGATCGACCGCAGAATCAAGCCGACTCTTTCTGCGGCCTCTGCAGGGACAATTTGTTTGGAATTTAAAACGAGTTACTAGGTTCGTACGTGTTGCACTTGCATGCATGATGCATCCATGCCAGCCGCCATGCAGGACCGTGGACTTTTCTTGTTTACTCCACTAGAAGTACAAGGCTCTGACAATGCGGAGTACGAGTTGTTCATGCCACGTAGCATGTGTCAGCGTCGAGCTGGGCGAATGTGATTGGTTCAGTTGTCGTGTGGTTTGTGGCGATTCTTCTAGCAGAGAGAACACATGATTTATCGAGCCATCGCGCCCGTAATAAAATATATCTGACTTGTCTTTTAGAAAAACATTTACTTACCCTTTGTATATATGTTCATTCTTGTAACTAATTAAGGTCCATTTTTTTCTCAACTTCAAACTTTTTTTTCGTTAGCACGTTTTTTAAACTGTTAAATGATGAGTTTTTTTTATAAAAAGTTTCTTTATAGAAGTTGTTTAAAAAAATAAATTTATTTTTTAATTTTATAGTAGTTAATAATTATTAATCATGTGCTAAGGAGTTTTCTTATTTCGCGTGCACTAGAAATATCTCCCCGGTTGGAGAGAATGAATGGTACCTTAAGAGCGTCGTTTGAAGTCAACTTTTATCATTTCAATAAATATTAGTGTCAAAATCTTGATAAGTTTTGGCAGTATCATACTTTGTATTGGTGTTGACAAAAATTGGTAGAAAATTAACCATACATGAGGCGCTATTGAAATTGCTAAGAATTTAGTAGGTCTAAAATTGATATCACTCCAAACAAGCCCCAAATTTTATGAATTAAACTGCATAAATTTTAAATAAGCTATATAATAAGCTGTTGCAACAAAACATAATATTTAATATCAAATTTTATTACAAAACTACATAATCAAGGCACAATGTCATGAAACTATAGAGTTAGCATTGGCTTTATTATAAAACTACAAATTTTAAAGCATGGTTTTACCACAAAACTGATTTTAGTGTCTCGTTAGGATAGCAACGTTGGAATGAACTATTCCATATGCAATCTATAGTTTGATTATAAATTATAAGCTAAATATGTAGTTTTATATGCACGTTCGCCCGGTAGTTTCATTTATACTGGTATAAATTGACGGAAACTAAATATTTGTTTGGCAAAAGAAACTAAACAATTCAGTCTACTTTATTCAAAAGCAACCCTCAAGCATCATGCATGCTTCATGCGTTCTCGCTAGGGAGTGAGACCTAATCATGTGAGGAGGTGACCGGCAAAAAAAAAAAAGATTCAGATAGCAATTTCCCAGAGAGATCGAGATGTTTTTCCCATAATTTGCCCGCCACAAAAGCAAGCAAACACACACCACAAAACAGTAGCCGAACAACCATTTCGACTTGTAAAGCATCAGGTAATTCGTTCTGATCGATATGATATGGGTGTCCAAGTCTGAAAGCTCCATACGCAAACGAACATATATATATATATATATATATATATATATATATATATATATATATATATATATATATATATATATATATATATATATATATATATATGTAAGAGAATATTCCACGATATATTTTCCTTTTTCAAATTCTTCGAAACTATACCGTGTCAGTATCAACGGCAAAATGTAAAAAATCGGGTGGGTTCTACGAATTGAGAGTAGCTCAGATGCTTATAGATTTTTAGATTACTTAATGTGAAATTTATCAACTTAAGTTGCAATGCAAATTTATTGATGCTTACATTTGCAGCTTCTTTTTTTAGACGACATACCTGTCGAGATAACATGTGTTTGTGGCGATTTTGCTAATTTCAGGTTATGCTAGTGTAGTTTTTAGATGCTTAAACCGTACGATGTATCACTGTCACGTGTATAAGAGTGTTTATGTCTCTCCTATTTTGTCTTAAAAAAGAAAAAGGTAGCTTTTGTATAAAGTAAATGCCAGATTTGTCCATTATACTTCCTCCGTCCCTAAATATTTGACGCCGTTAACTTTTTTAAACATGTTTGATCGTTCGTCTTATTCAAAAAATTTAACTTTTTTAAATATGTTTGACCGTTCGTCTTATTCAAAAAATTTAAGTAATTATTAATTTTTTTCCTATCATTTGATTTATTGTTAAATATACTACTACTACTCAAGTTTTTGAATAATATTCACAAAAGTTTTTGAACAAGATGAACGGTCAAACATGTTTTAAAAAGTCAACGGCGTCAAATATTTAGGGACGGAGGGAGTATAAAAGAAAATCAAAATTGATAGTCAAATTAATATGACAAATCTCATGATTTTGAAACCGCAGCTGTATATGCAATATAAGGTGGCGAAGAAATCAACAACAAAACGCGCGTATACAGGTCTACGATGTACGGCCGTGCGTTGAAACAATTGAGGCTTATATCAATAAATTATTGGCCATATATTTTTTTCAATAGCTTTGGAAACCTTGCGGCTCCACCGTTTGACTTATTTACAAAAAAACCAAATGATATGTTTGTAAATGAAAAATAATTTGTGAATAAAATTTTTATATATGTGTTCTTAATAATCTAAAAGTAAATGTTGAAAAATAAACTTCGTTAAAAAACTCTCAAAATATCAACTTTAAATTTAAATTTGAAATTTTGAATTTAGCTGATAAGTATAAGTATGTAAAAACGATGAGGCTGTTGGATCGTTGGGAGATGTTGATTCTACTACATACGGAGTATTTATTATTGATTCGCAAATGATTTGATTTTGACGACGACTGCATCCAATGCATCCTTCCATCTATCGCGCACAGTGGTAGCAGGGCAGCGTGTGTACAGTACGTACGTTTGGGCGTGTGGCTGGACTGGTTTAATTTGGTCGGCCAAGCCCATCGATCTGCTTCGCGACGCGGGCACTAGTTGGTTTCCTTTGCGCGGCGTGGTTCATGTGTGTGGAGTGGTGGCGCACCGGTTCATGTGTGTGGAGTGGTGGCGTGTCCTCCGGTGCGGTCGGGTTTGGAGCCACATCCCTCTCGTCGGATCGACCGGGGTCCTTGTGTTTTTTTTTCGTTTGTCTCCCTACTGATCATCATGGCCCCTATGGGCGTTCTGATGAGTAGCGAATTCAGGATGAAAATTAAGGTGGTGCCTATCATAAATTATTATTAATCTCTATTGCTAATCAAAATAAGATTTATACTTTTTTTCTATAAAAAGAGACAACATGTCGTGCAATAAAAATATATATGCTACAACAGTTTGTAGGTTGCCTTTTTCTTTACTTCTTCTAAGTAAAATATGTGCAGAGTTTTATTCTGCATATACTCCTACCAAAACACTGAAAAATACATACGTACTTCTAAATTAAATGTCTAGTTTAACGGAAGAGAAAAAAAAATACTATCGATCATCAATCTTGGGAAGCATAATTGGTTAGTCAACAGCCCGATATGGCCCAGCATGGCGTTACGATCGTCTTCCTCCTCCAGCAGCAACTATGCATCCATGTATTCTCTCTTCTTGCTGCTCTTTGATGATTCTCCAAGCTAACTAACACCACAGAGAGAAGGGATACATGGGAATTCAGGTTATTGGAGGTGGGGCTTAAGCTCCAACAAGCCCCAACGGTAGATTCGCCCATGGTTCTGATATATACCTCTCCCATCCCATAAACACGAATGCATAACATGCACACATATCTATATCAAAGCCTACACGTATCACTGTATCAGAAACATATATAAACGTACTGGTCATATGCCCGTGCATTGCAATGGGAAAAACCATTTTTAAATTACGAGAATATGAGATCCATCATTGAAAAAGTGCTACCTAATCATTTTAGGTGACATATTTTCCAACAATTGTACATAAATCATTGGAACCGCAAATTGAGGGTATACAATCAAATTTCAATGTAGCATGTCCGTGCTAATGCTACGGCAACATATAATACATACACCCTTCGTCTAAAAAAAATCAACGCTATGTAACATAGCCATAAGTAGGTTTTTTTAGGACGGCAGGAGGATGCAGCTCACAATTTTGCAAGCAATATACACATGTTATGCTTAACTCATTTATCAAAAAGAAAATTGAAACATTTTAAGAAGCCAAATACAAAAGCAGTTATTTTAGGAAAAAACAAAATAAACACCTGACCAAACTGCTCAAAGATCTGTTATATTTATATTAATTGATCCACTTGTTTTTGCTCCGACCATAATCCATGCCGAGCACTCGAGACTTTGATCAAGTGTCCTAGATAGAGTGAACATTTGTGAAACAAACAAAACATCTAAGTTAAAAAAATGGTGGGTTGCAGTTAATTGAAAATATAGCAAAATCATGGAAGTAAAAATATTCCCAGATTTTTGTTCTAAATACCAGCAATATTTTTATCATTTTCTTCCTCAAGAAATATTTCTATCATTTTTACAACAAAATTTCTATAATTCTCAATTCAAATGCAATATTTTGTGGAAGTCTACAACGTTATCTATACTTTTATCAAAATACCACTATTTGACAATGAGCTTGCTTGGTTTAAATATACCCATTCTTCTTGGTGGTAAGTACATTCCCATTAGTTGGGAATAGGCACAAATTAAAAGTAGCTAGATGTGTGTTTCTTTTGAAGTATCATGGACACAATACAATCAAAGCGCATTGAGAGCTATCTAAAACTATCCTCCGCATACAATCAGGACAACATATTAGCAAGAAAAATAGATCAACAGTTTTAGTTAGTTTTGATTTTAACTCGTCATCAAGATGTTGACGGGCCTGCTTGGATGTGATGGTTGTCACTGCATATTCTCTCTCTCTCTCCCCCTCACCCCCCCCCCCCCCCCCCCAAAAAAAAAAAGAAGAAGAAGAAGAAGAAGAAGAAGAAGAAGAATCCCACGCCTTCCTGATCACGTCTTCAAAAAACTCCTGACCACAAGAACCCAAAATTAATGAAGAACAGAATAAAAATTAATTAGTCTGGTGTAACTTAGGAATATCAGCTAAAATGTTCTATGAATCTTTAATCACCTCGAGCATCATGTCAGTTTACTTGCTATTAGTATAAAATGATCACTACTTAACAGGTGTAATTGCATTTGAATCATGGAGCACGCTCCAGTATCATGGATCAAAATGACCAATAAATCTCCACAAGATCATGTGTCTCTCGGGCATGAGCAAATGTGCATCTAAGACAATATAGAAGCTGTAGAGAAATATCTCAACCACTGCTTATTCTTCTGTAGTTGGATGCTGGCAATCACTACACTCGTGGAAGGCCCGAAGCTACAGAAAGGTGGTGGAACCAGTACAAATTAGTCCAAGTCACCATAAATAATCTGAATCATTAATTCAAATATAATCAGAAAATTTATTTACAGCTTACGAAACAATAACAATGCATATTAAAATAACCATAGCCATGCTGCAACAAAACTTAGGCATCCATCAATGGGGCCAAATAGACAACCAACTGCACAGCTGACCAGTGACCACATCATTTTGGAGTTTAAGATGTTTTAGTGTAGTTAGGAAAGCCTGATGTCGTTATCACAAACTGTGCTTTGATGTGCTCAATAGTAATTCGCACAAACCGTCAGCAGCCATAAGCACATATAGTTTGTGGAACAGAACATGAAACATCCTAACTGGTCAACATATTATTTTCATCCTTATTTAGCCAGAGGAAGAGACAGGTGGATCATATACACTGGTTACTTGACAATTGGCAGTAAAAGTGTTTACTGACTTGAACCCTAGTATGACTAGTTTCATAAAGTACCATCACAAGATAGATTCAGAAGAATAATACAGCATCACACTGAGAAGTCCAACAGTTCTGAATATTGAAAACAAGCAGAATAAAATAGATTCATTGCCAGGTCGATTCCCACAAACAATATGTGCTTGGCAGATGATGATTCACAAAGATCACAATGTGAGAACAAGAACAGTTCAAATGTCTGCGTGAATGTAATTAGACATAGGTGTACTATATTACCTCATGTAACACTGTCACAAGACCAAATCCCTTCTCCATCCCCTAAAACTGGGCAAAGAAGTTCTGCAAGATGCATCACATAGAAATACTCAGAAACAACAAAAATGTTTGAATAATCAAGTATAACATAGAAACCAACGGTGATGTGCAGCAAACAACACTACAACAGTGAGTCATGAAACAACCATATCACAACATTAATTCTGAAAGGTGAAAGCCATGTGCCATGTGCAATCTCTTTTAACTCATGAGTTAATTTATCAAAGGTGTTGGTATTTAGGCATGAATTGGATAATTCTTCTTAACCATAAAAGGGTCAAGGAGACTAATTAATCTAATTCACTTCTGATCAGACAAAAAAATATGAAATGATCTTCCTTTGAGAATATTAGACAGCTATACTGTTGAGAATACATTGCTCAAGAAAGGCTTGAACAAATAAATAACTTTTCACCTTTACCTTGACCCTCCTTTTCATGTCAAAGTCACATAGAAACATCTTACAAGCATTCATGACTCAGAACAAAACTAAGTTGAATGTCAGTAATGCAAATTCATAATTTAGTAACCCACATAAACTTCAGTATGGTACATGACAACCAATAAACTAAACAGAATAAGCAATACTTCAGAACAGTAGATTATAAGGATTACTCATATTAAATGCAAATGCAAGCATTTCTTACCACATCAATAATAAGTTTCGAGAGCTGAGCAAACATTTCCACCGTTACTACCAACCATGAGGGAAAATACCATACATAACACCACGCACCCTCCAGAAGTTTCACTAAAACAAGTTTCTGAATACAATTGTTTGTGGTAGCTTCAGAACCTTGAAATCAAGTTCTGCATTTTTCATGTTAGACCCACATTTTTTCTACCCTAGTACACATAGGTCAGGCTTCAAGAACTTAATCTCCCCATTACCAAACTATCATTCTTTTCACTTATACAACACATAAAACCATTCAACATAAAAGTTACTTCAGTATTGCAAAGATTGGCATGTGAAAGGTAGTACAGTACCATCTTATCGAGCTTTATTGACTTAATACGACCTTGCTTCCTGCCTTCCTGGTTCTGTACAATTGCATTTTTCTTTTCATAAGCCAATGTGCAACACGTCTCGTGTCTGTTTAAACTATTCCAACTGCATGATGCAATAATACACAATAGCCCTATTTTATTACAACAACCTAATATGCCATATATTTCATTTTCCATGTCAAATATTACCACAGGAAGCAACTCTCAGCTTGCGTTTCCTTCAGCATTACGCAACCTCAAGGTAATTATATAGAAGTCAAAATTAACCACCACAGGAGTGAGCAGCCAGGAAGAACACAAGTCGGACACGAAACAATCACCAGGAAACAGCGAAGATTCTTAGCATAGTTCCGCTATCAACTTTGAAATTGACGGCACAATAACACAATCCGGGAAATTGAACTCGATTGCTACTTGGCAGCAGATTAATTTCTAACCAGAGACTAATTTGGCAAGCCTAAATCAAGAACCTATCGAACACAAACAGCTCGAAATCACAAAGGGGGAGGAGCCCGTCAGACCTGGAACCACGCGGCGACCGTGGCGAGCGCGGACGAGAGGCGGCATTTCTTGGAGTCCTCGCACTCGTGGGGGGACTCGAACTCGTCGGCGGGGAGCTTGCGGGTGATCCAGCCGATGTCGAGGTAGACGTAGCGCGGGGGCGGCGGGAGGTCGACCTTGACGCGGACGACGTCGAACCAGACGAGGAAGCGGCGGACCTTGACCCCGGAGAGGCCGGTGAGGGAGCCGTAGCGGAGGACCCCCGTGACGCGGGGCTCGAAGTAGGTGAGGTACTCGTAGTGGGCGTAGCAGGGCCCCCCGAGGTCGACGGCGAGGCTGCCGTTGGCGGCGAGGGAGAAGGCGGTGACGCTGGCGGGGAACAGCCCCGGAGGCAGGCCGTAGCGCGGGAGGATCTCGGAGAGCGTCGCGTTCTTGTGCGGCGGAGGGGAGGAGGAGGGCGCCGCCGGGGGCTCCTCCGCCGCGGCGGCGCCGCCGAGGAGGAGGAGGAGGAGGAGGAGGAGGGGAGGCGGCATCGGTGAGGAGGCTTTGGGAGGAGGGAAACAACGAGGCAGGCACACGTTTCTCGCGAGAGTTTGCTCTGCCACGCTGGTCGCTGGGTTAACAGCGATGGCTGATGGTGGCAGCCAGGTGGGACCAGTGATCCAGCCTTATCCTGGTGTTGTTTAGGGTGTGTTTAGATCACATCAAAATTAAAAGTTTGGTTAAAATTAGAACAATGTGATGAAAAAAATAGAAGTTTATGTGTGTAGAAGAATTTTGATGTGATAAAAAAGTTGAAAATTTGAAGAAAAAGTTTAGAACTAAAGTAGAATCATCACAATACTACTCCATCCATCACGGTGCGTCTATCTCAGCCTCGCGCATGTAGTCCGTATCTAGGTAGTTTTCAAATTCTAAATTTCCCGAGTTAAACATGAAATTGAAAGGATTTAAACTCTAATCCACCCAATAAAAAAAATCAGCAGAACGATACATAGGAGAAGACCATATCCAAATTCCAAATTTCCATCTGAAAAAAAGAAACTAAATGAATCGGACCACAATAAATAACTCCAACCAAATAAATAAAATCATCAGAAGAAAAATCCACAAGACAACTCCAATACACCACAATAAAATCAGCAGTGGGTCGATCGCGCTGCAACACGTAACAATCAAAAATCGGATATGGGAATTCCAACCCCACCTTGACCTCCTTCTTCAAGCTTGGCGCTGGATCGATGGCGGCCAGGGATCGCTTGATGCCACGGTCACTCTGCCGCATGCGCCCTCCACCTCCTCCACCGCTGCCCATACCAAGAGAAGAAGGAGTGGTCGCCGGCCTCCACCCATGGCCAGCTCTGCATTGCTGGTCGCCCTCCATCGTGGGCCTCCACTTTGCTCGTGAGAAACTTGAGTAGTTGAGTAGAGAGGAGGGGGAGGCTAGAGGTGAAGGATGGGAGGAGGAGGAGGAGGTAGAGTGTGCCGGCGACTGCTCACATGCTCGATGTTGGCAAGGTTGGTTTGGGGAAGATCCGGGTGAGTGCGAGCGGCGGCTGAGGATGAGGATAGGAAGGTTGACCAGTCGCTTTTCTCGTACTGCATCAAGATACGTCGACAGCATCGGAGGAGAAAACGGTACGGTTCCCCCTTTCTTTTTTCTTTTTTTTATATTTTCTTTTTTTCTTTTTTCTTTCCTTCTTCTTTTGTTTGAGGACTCCAACCCGGTTAGACATGAAAGTCATATATGTATATGTGTATATGCAGATCTATATACCACTTAAAAATATGTAAGGGTTTTGGGAGTTATTTTTTTTTCGTCTGTCATCTAGCTTAAATAATATGTAAGGATTCTGGGATTTTTTTAATCTTTTATAAATAATACTATTTTAATAAAAAAATACAAAAATAGAAGTTGATTGGCAAAAATCGCAAGTTTAATACCCTGTCAAACAGTTCGACATGGTTGTTTGGTCCACTTAAAAAAAATAAAAAGTACATGAAAGAGCACGGCAGGGTGGCCTATCAAACTGGGGATGGGGATGTTCAATAGGTCTTGCATGCTACAGTGGCACACAGTGCCGTGCATTGAGTTTCTCTTTTATTTTTTTATTTTTTATTCCCTATCGAACATCAGCACTTTGACAGGTAACCTGTCGAACTGCGGTTGTTCAATATGTACCCTTATTGAACTTTGGTTGTTCGATAGGGTGTTATACTTGTAATTTTTGTCCGTCAAATTCTATTTTGGTGATTCTCTATTAAAAAGTATTATTTCTAAAAAAACATATTTTTTGGTTCAGCATCTAGCTTTTGTTGCACACACATATCTTTGCTTTGCTTGATTCTCTTATTCCCCGCGCCACGTCTAAAACTTTAGATCGCGAAGAGTCCCCAAGGTTCCTGTGGAAATTAATATATGTCTCATACTGCATCCAATCTGTTAAGTTTGTGGCCGACCCAAAAGCTTCAAAGTTTGAGGAAAGCAAATAGGTCCACACAATTTCCGACCCCAAAACCTTCAAAATTTGAGGAACGCGACCAAAAATCAGCAGCGAGAAGAGATGAAGTTGCAAACAGAATCAAACCATACAGGTTTTTTGCCATAGCGGGAGACAACAACTTCACAGAAACAAAACCAAATATTCGACTAGCTCAACAAACACAAGAAACCAGAGTACAGTGGCATCTTAGCAAACCACCACCTATACCTTCCATCGTCGTATAGGGGAGGACGGGGGAGTGCCACGACCCTCGTCGCCTATGGAGGCTGCTGCCATCGCCGTTCCTGCCTAGAGAGGATAGAGGAGCACTGCCGTCCTTGCCACCTAGGGAGGGCTGAGAAGGGCCGAGGGAGCACTGATGTCCCGCACTACGGGATGACCTCCGTTACGCTGAGGGGTCCGGTCGGCTCAGGAAGCGCCACCACTATCCCTCGTGAGTTGCAATGAGAGAGGCTAAAGTAGCACCTTCGTCATCATTGAACATATTCTATCGATGAGGACCAGATTACATAATATCTCGGATTCGTCATCAACTTTCATTTTAATCCTTTCATTATGTGAAAGGTCATTCATTAAATTGTTTTCTATGCCTACCCTCGAGTTTATAAATATTTTCACATAAACTTATTTGCAATATTAGAAATGGGAATCGAGATCTCACGGGCTTATTCTTCACCTTAGGAATGATAGAACAAAGGTGCTTTATTCTTCAACCTCTTCAACCTCACTGGTGTGTTTCATACGAAGCGATAAAGTTATATTTGTATTCACCCGTTGCGAAGCACGGGCATTTTGCTAGTAACTAATTAAAATATTTATAATTTTCCTTTCATCACACTTTTTCGTCTGTCCAAATTTTGACCGACTCAGTGCGTCATCCATATCTAATTTTTCGTCCATCCTCGTCATCCGCATGCTTCCGCACAACTTGTAGGAGTCCGCATCAAATACAAATAATCCACATCGATTCTTAATAGACACAAACAAAAACAAAATTGAACAAGGACAGGCAGGGAGGATACCAGGTTCAATAGGAAAGGAAGTTGGATGCGGATTCGATTTGATCTCAAACTTGAATAAAATTAACCCTATAAATACAAGAAAGAACAAGATACATAGTAATTGGTGAAATCTGACCTGATTTCACAGAGGCGGGTTTGATTCATCTCCCCATCAATGGGACAGGTCATAGGCAGCGGTTGGTTCGAGAGGAGGCGGCGGCAGGGCTCCGATGGGGCGGAGGCCTCATGGACGCGGTGGCCCTCAACAGCGAGCTCCTGGATGTCGGGTTGTCGAGGGAGCCAGGCAATCGATGGAAATGGTGCATTAGGAGACGAGTCCTGGAGGCAGCGGCTCCCACATGCGAAGACGTCGAGAAAGCAGGCGGTGGTGGCAATCGTGTAAGGCGGAAGCAAGGTGGCGCTTGGCGCTGTGCTGCTGGAAAGTAGCGAAGGACTGAAAGGGGATCGATCTAATCCAGACGGACCCGACCCCGTTGAATGGTTAATTGAACCAATGAGTGGTTTTTCCTGGATTTTTCACCTTTTAGTTCTTTTGAAAAACTTATCCTACAAATAGCAAATAGACCCCTAAAAAACTTATTTTAGAAATGATCCTTATCGCGGCGCCAATGTCATTGGCGCTGTGGTCCAACATGACGGCGCCAATGACGTTAGCATTGTCCTCTCAGCCCTCGGGTGAAAGCTACTCCCTCCTTACCATAATATAAAGGATTTTGACTTTTTGCTTGCACTATTTGATCACTCGTCTTATTCAAAAAATTTGTGCAAATATAAAAAACGAAAAGTTGTGCTTAAAGTACTTTGGATAATAAAGTAAGTCACAAATAAAATAAATAATAATTTCAAAATTTTATTGAATAAAACGAATGGTCAAGCATTGCAAGTAAAAAGTCAAAATCCTTTATATTATGGGATGGAGGGAGTAAGTCACTAATGGGTAATGGGAAAGGGGACGGCGCCAACGTCATTGGCGCTGAGGACCAATTTCTAAAAAAATTTAAAAAGGACCTATTTGTAATAAAAAGGGACTCATTTATAAATAAAAAATTACAAATAGGTCCTCAACATCAATGTCATTGGCGCCGATGATCTATTTGTAAATATTTTTTATTTACAAATAGGTCTTTTTTTCAAAAAAAATACAATTTGGTCCTCGGTGCCAATGACGTTAGCGCCGTCCCCCTTCACATTTGTGACTTAACTTTCACTGGAGGGCTATGGGGACGCGCCAATGTCATTGGCGCCGTCATGTTGGACCTTGGCGCCGTGAAAAAGATCATTTCTAGAATAAGTTTTTTTTAGAGATCTATTTGTAGGATAAGTTTTATAGAAGGATCAAAATGTGAAAACCCAGTGGTTTTTTACCAGGAAAATTAAACCGACCAGTTCTTTTTTTTTAGAGCAGAGTGGTTCTTTCTAGAGTATGGAAACCGACCCACCCTATTCCTATTCCTTTTCCATTATTTTACTGTAGGCTCCCGCAAAGTAAAAAACTACTGCACACAAAAAACGGAAACTAATAAATTAGAAGAAAAAAACATGGACCACGGTACTATGCAAAGTGAGGGACATGCATACCAAAGCAGAATAAATTAGATCAGAATGTAACAATGAGATGAAGTGATCAAATCTGAAAATATTTCAAAACCACCATATTATATTATTATATGAATCGAAAGAGCGTAAAACCTTGAGTTAATAAAAATGTTTTTTATCTCCTTTATTTATGTGAATTCATATTTGATATATGGCACTTCTTTATTTTTAAACCTGGAGTAATGTTTATAGACAGCTTCATCTTTCAACTTGGGATAAATATCTATCTCATTCGTATCCTTATATATTCTTATATATGGAAATATACTCTCGCTGGTTTTTATATACGATATTTTTATATATGATACCAGTAACTTTAGAATATTTTAATCATTCGTCTTATTAAAAACATTTTAAACATAAAACAAATATATAAAATAATACTTAAAGAGCCTTTAATGATAAATCAATTTATAATTAAAAATAAAAGATAACTATATTTTTTAATAAGATGAATGGTCATAAGTAAATACATGATGGAGTATCTAGTTAAAGAATTCATATTTTTTTCAATCGTCACTCATATTTTTTTTCCAATAGTCACATACATGCTTCAGTCTTGGTTGTCCGCGCGCGTTTTGTTTTCATCCTTTGCTTTTCTTCATATGTCATTCGATTTATGTGTTGACTCGAGGTGCTGTCTCGCTTATACTTTCCACGATGTTGCCTCACACTGTTTTTATTGACCACGCTCTCTTTTATCAACCGTTTCCTCAGTGCAACGCATGGGTATTTTTGCTAGTAATAACATAAATGTAAATAGGATGTACTCCTTTAGTCCCACAAAAAATAAATCTAAGATTGGATTTTGTCCAGTCACATCCAGTTCTAGATTCGTTTTTTTTTTCAGAGGAAGTACTTTTTATCCTTACAAAATTCTTACTAACAACAATCTCAAGTATTTTATTTTAGTTAGTAAATCCTTGGTGGTGGGCAAGCGTGATGGAGGGAAGACAAAACAAGATGAAGAAATATGACTCAATTCTCTGATCTTTTTGGTCGCTTGGGAGGTCTGAAAATATAGAAATGACTACGTGTGTAATGGTGCTACCCCTAATATAGAGGCTGCCAACCTTCAGGAGCTAGCCGTTAGGGTTGAGGCAGAGGGCTCATAGACTTGTTTCTTAATTGGTGTTTCTTCATCTTTATCTTTTCCTCTTTTTTTTCTCGTGTGGTGTCTTGCAAGACTTTTTTTTCAGTTGTTTTTTACTTGCTTAATGAAATGATATGCATATCTCTTACGTGTTCGAAAAAATAAGTTGCAGGAAATTAAGATTTAATCACATAATGATGCAGGAAATTAAGATTTAGTTCAGAGAAAATTTACAGGAATTTTGTAGCTTCTAAACCAGGAGGATTGCATATTTTTCAGCTTTCTCATGCCGCCTCTTGCTCTCCGTCTCTGTAGGCATATATTGCTGGGTTCGCTGCCACCCCTGATCGATCACCTACAAACCACTCTCCATTTTGCCCTCTTTAAATCGCAGGATTGAGAAAATATAGGAATAGGAAAAACATAGAATTTTGATATGAATGTAAGTGTAAAACAGAGGATTGCAAAACGCAGGAAAAACATAGGAATGACCGTTTGATTGAACCACAGGAAAAACACAGGAATTGGATGAGAGAGATAGACTCAAAGGAAAGTTAGCAAGAGGTTGAAGCTCTTGCTAAATTTCCTCCAAAATCTCTATAGGATTGTCCATTCCATAGGAATTTCAAAGGATTGGATATGATTCAATCCTTTGTTTCAAAGGGCTTCATAGGAAATTTTCCTATAGGATTGTAATCCTCTAAAATTCCTATGTTTTTCCTCCAATTCAAAGGGGCTTTCTCAGCCAGGAGGATTGCATATTTTTCAGCTTTCTCATGCCGCCTCTTGCTCTCCGTCTCTGTAGGCATATGTTGCTGGGTTCGCTGCCACCCCCGATCACCTACAAACCACTCTCCATTTTGCCCAGTACTCCACCACCACTCCGACTGCCGCTGCCTCACCCTCCCTCCCATAGCTTCGGTGGCGCCATCGCCGTGAAATCCACTGCTCACCGTTGTCCTGATGACCTGATGATCATCCTTCTAAGGCTCTCACAACACTCCCTCCTCTTTCTCTCCCAAGCTCTCCTACCCTGACCCTCCACCTCAAATACTAATCCACTCCGTTGGCGCATAATTTGCTGCCATGGTTGCCGAGAGCATATGCTTGAGTAGCACTTGGAGCTAACTAAGCTAGTTGGCGAGAGAGATAGATGCTCTGGGTAGTCGCTTGTTCTGTGGTAGAAGATCAAACCACATCTGTTGAATTTTAATCCAACACGTACGGTTGGTTCAAGTGATGGATTTAAGAAAATCCTAAGTTACCTGATAAATAGCAAAGCCGAGAAAACATGTTAGCAAGTGTATCTTTTCACTTTTCAAACCGTTGGGTTGTTACGAGAAATGGGTAAGAGATTCAACATTTCAACGTTCTCGGTATTTGAGGTGTGATTTTCACAATATACACATTTTATTTATATGTTTCATTCAGAAGTTATTGATGATCAAAATTTTACTAAATGTCCAAAATATAAAGTATTTGTAATTAGATATGGAGTCGATTTGTTATAAAAAATGCGAGCTGCAATAAATCTTTACATTTTAAGATATTTACAATGTAGTGATATGTCCACCTTAGACTCATGTTGGAGCAAAGCAACCACAATAACCAAGAGAATGGCCTCATGGCGGTGCATGCAAGTCTCATTTGGAAAGTAGCTTGGCGCACCGAGCCACTGCTTGGAAAGCCGCATTAAGCGATATACTTCATAATGTGTGGTTTTAATCCTGAGATATCGTGTTTAATCTCCAATACGTTTATAATCTATTTTCAAAAAATATTTGGAGGTACGCCCCTAAAAAATCTCGTTTTTGAAAGCCGTATTATTATCAATGTCCTCGTTGTCGTTGTGTATATATGTGCTTTTTTCTTTGCACATTCGAGCTAGTATGTATTGAGAAGTACTGTCCTCGATAGTAACTTTAACCTACGAGTCACTCTCTCTTTATGACATCACACTTTGAGATTACTTCATCCGTCCCAAAAAAACACAACCTAAGATGGGATGAGACATATTCTAGTACAACGTATCTGGACATCTAGATACATTGTACTAGAATATGTCCCATCCCATCCTAGGTTGTGCTTTTTTTGGACAAAGGGAGTACTTTGTATTGTAAATATTTTAACAAATCTGAACAAAATTGTTTGCTATTCCCTCTGGTATCTAAAGAAGTCGAGGAAATCCTTAAATACAAGGATATGCGGAAAGACATTAGAACTCTCCTGATTGTACACGCATAATAACTACTAGAAAAATAATTTTTTCCAACGTTATGATTTTATTTTTTCAGACAGATTATAAAATCACCGTTTGTAAAAATAGCTCAAGATACCATAAATTTAGTTATTTTTATAGGCGAACCTCTTAAGGTACGCTTACTAAAATCAATTTATGAGGCGGGACCTCAAATCCTCAGCCCGCAAAAATCCAACCACCCACACCACCACCCTTCAAACACTAAGTCCTCACCCATCCGCCCACCTCTCCCTTCACTTCCTCACCTTCCTCCCTTTCCCTCCACTCCCATATCTAGCCGGTGATGCGGAGGGTGTAGGCGGCAACCACAGCAGCTGACGGCGCGAAGATGCACAGCAACTAAGAGGAAACCTGGCGGCGCGGAGGCGATGGCCACAGCAGCCGGCGGCACTCCCCTCCCCTCCCTCCCTTCCTCCCAGATCCGGCCAGAGGAGGGGAGCCGGCGGTGGCAACGGCCGATGGATAGGCCCTACATATTTTTTTTAATTTTTTCTGACTAGGATGTCACGTCAGCGAAAAACTAGGCATCCATATTGCCTATTGATTTACTTTGTATGGTTTTGAATAGTTGAGGGGTTGACATCTCTGATATTGGAGTTTAGAGATATCATACAGACTCGACGTAAACTTGAGGGACGAAACTGAAAACGCATCGCCTACTGCTTTAGGCATAAAGCAAAACATGCTCCTACCGGTCCATCTTGGATAGTAAGCCACGGCAGTGTTCATCTTTCTCTTCTTAAATGGGCCAAAACTACTTTGTAAAAAAGGCCCAAACTGAATCCAGCTTTGCTATGCCAATTGTAGAAAGTCCATGGACCGAGACAATTTTCCTTCATAATAGATCACATATTACGATAAATTAGTATTAGGCCGACCCAAGGCCTGTCTCTGGGGGTGGGTCCATCCTTATCTGCCACTGCTTAAACATGCCAAATGTGCTCCATCTCATCTCCAAAGGTAAATGTCCCAGCTGTCTTTCCTCCAGGTCACCTGACAAATGTCACTGCATATATAGATGTGAAGCCAAACCATGCATGCATGCTAAGCGTGCCAATGCCCACGAGATTTGTCCTTCCTCTTCTAGCGCAGCCATTTCCAGAGCCGGACACTCCTGTGCCGCGTTTTCGCCGAGGCTGACAGGTGGGCCCCACCGCTCCGAAAGGAGGCGTTACTACTGGGGTTTAATGGCGCCAGCAGAGGAGGAGAGGAGATTAGGATTCAGAGATGAGTCGCTTTTGTACTATATGACGATCTCGTCGTGATCATCTCGATCCAACCTTGCTTGCCGCTGTTGCTACAGATTGTTCTTTGTGTTTTTTTTTCCTCTCCTTTTCTTGAGGAATTTGAGATCTCCAGGTAGCCATGGCGCATGTCCTTGTCGTGCCGTATCCTAGCCAGGGGCACATGAACCCGATGGTGCAGTTCGCGAGGAAGCTGGCGTCCAAGGGCGTGGCGGTGACCGTGGTCACCACCCGCTTCATCGAGCGGACGACGTCGTCGTCCGCCGGCGGCGGGGGCCTCGACGCCTGCCCGGGGGTGCGGGTGGAGGTCATCTCCGACGGCCACGACGAGGGCGGCGTCGCGTCGGCGGCGAGCCTGGAGGAGTACCTCGCCACGCTCGACGCCGCCGGGGCCGCGTCGCTCGCCGGGCTCGTCGCCGCCGAGGCGCGCGGCGCCGGCGCGGACCGCCTCCCCTTCACGTGCGTGGTGTACGACACGTTCGCGCCGTGGGCGGGGCGCGTGGCGCGCGGCCTCGGCCTGCCGGCCGTGGCGTTCTCCACGCAGTCGTGCGCCGTCAGCGCTGTGTACCACTACGTCCACGAGGGGAAGCTCGCCGTGCCGGCGCCGGAGCAGGAGCCGGCGACCAGCAGGAGCGCCGCGTTCGCCGGGCTGCCGGAGATGGAGAGGCGCGAGCTCCCGTCGTTCGTGCTCGGCGACGGGCCGTACCCGACGCTCGCCGTGTTCGCGCTCAGCCAGTTCGCCGACGCGGGGAAGGACGACTGGGTGCTCTTCAACTCGTTCGACGAGCTGGAGAGCGAGGTAAGTGAAGAATTAATAAACCGGAGATTTAATGTTTTTCAACGAATTTTTAAAGCGTATTACTATTTTTCAACTAAATTTTGTCTCGGTGATTGATTCGTAGTAGCATCATGGCCCATGCGTATAGCTTTCTTTGATGGCCTTCATATACGTATAAACTGTTGGCAGTTGGGACAAAGCTGATAAATCCTTTACATGCCTGCTTGGAATGTGAGAATGTCATATGATTTTGGTAGAAAAAAATGATTGGATAAATTATTCGAAATCAATTTACTCTCCTTTGTCGTACCCAAGTAGATATGCAGAATTCTAGAATTGGATGGGTGCAATGTAGTTCTTATTTATGCATGGGTGTGGGCGCGGCGTCAGGCTAAAATATTTGGGTTTTTGATTAATCCCTCTTGTTGATTTGTACTATAAAAAATGATTTAATTAAATCATTTTAGCCTGTCCATATGATACATTTGGAATGTGATGAGAATGGCCCGACGCTTTCTGTGGTCGTCACGGTTGTCGTGAAGACACGTGTCACTAAAGTCCTATTTGAAACACTAAAGTATTAGGAATTTTAATTTGGCCGATCGGTTGTGCTGCTGCCGCTGCCTCTGTGGCAGTTCATAGCTTTGCGACAATTGCTATGAAGACACGTGTCACTAAAGTCTTATTTGAAACATGAAAGTATATTAAGAATTTTTTTAGCCGCAATGTATTTTTCAAGGATACGAAAACAATGTATTCTTTAAGGATGAAATTTTAGAGGATACAGTATATATGCATATGTAGCAAGTGCTCGATGCTCCGGTGTTAGTCTCCTGGTAGTATTATACTAGGGGGCAAATTATTAACTTATTAATACAATGATTAGGAGTTACTTTGTTATTTACGTTTTTCCTGGCTAAATCTATCTATGATCATCCATTGTGTTGACATCGCTCTCATTTCATCGAAAAAACCAAAACAGGAAGGAAAAAAAATGTTTAGTCACTGCTAAATGATGATTATATCATCTGCATCTATTTTTTCTTGACAATAATGACTGCGTACATTTCTATTACCGTTAACTGCGGTGATAGTATAAATAGATCTAAACCTTTTGATCAAATGAAATCAATGGTTCATATTGATTTATACTACCCGTAGAGAGCACCGTAGTAATGGTCATGTAGCAAATATAGTGTGCATTTTCAACCTTCACAGTCAATTTCCTGCCTTATTTCTTTTTACGCCAAACTTGGAACGATAAAATTATTGAAATCCTATAAATGTCAGAGGAAGGAAATATATAGTGCAAACTTAGTATGTAGTATAAATCTAAAAAATAAAGTATAATAAAGAATAGAGTCTTTCTTAAAAAAAATAAAGTCTAATATTTGTCCAAGTTACACGGAGTAAAACTTTCGATTTAACAATGAGTAAAAGTTATTTATAGTGAGGTAAACAAATCTCAGACACATATTAAATGCTACTATGATAATTTTCAGGTTTATATTAGGTATGTGATTTGCCAGTGGCCGATTGCACTTGACTCCACAAAATGGACTAATTGATTAACACTCTGATCGTACTGTTCTAGGTTTTGGCTGGGTTGTCGACCCAGTGGAAGGCCCGCGCCATCGGGCCATGCGTGCCACTTCCCGCCGGCGACGGCGCCACCGGCCGCTTCACCTACGGCGCGAACCTGCTCGACCCGGAGGACACCTGCATGCAGTGGCTGGACACCAAGCCGCCGAGCTCCGTCGCCTACGTCTCCTTCGGCAGCTTCGCGTCCCTCGGCGCCGCCCAGACGGAGGAGCTCGCCCGCGGCCTCCTCGCCGCCGGCAGGCCGTTCCTGTGGGTGGTCAGGGCCACCGAGGAGGCGCAGCTGCCCCGCCACCTCCTGGACGCCGCGACGGCGTCGGGCGACGCGCTCGTCGTGCGGTGGAGCCCCCAGCTCGACGTGCTGGCGCACCGCGCCACCGGGTGCTTCGTCACGCACTGCGGCTGGAACTCCACCCTGGAGGCGCTCGGCTTCGGGGTGCCCATGGTGGCGATGCCGCTGTGGACCGACCAGCCCACCAACGCCCTGCTCGTCGAGCGCGCCTGGGGCGCCGGCGTGCGCGCCCGCCGCGGCGACGCCGACGCCGACGACGCCGCGGGGGGGACGGCGGCGATGTTCCTCCGCGGCGACATCGAGCGGTGCGTGCGCGCCGTCATGGACGGGGAGGAGCAGGAGGCCGCCCGTGCCCGCGCGCGCGGCGAGGCGCGGCGGTGGAGCGACGCCGCGCGCGCGGCGGTGTCCCCCGGCGGCAGCTCCGACCGGAGCCTGGACGAGTTCGTGGAGTTCTTGCGCGGCGGCTCCGGCGCCGACGCCGGCGAGAAGTGGAAGACGCTGGTTTGGGAGGGCAGCGAGGCTGCAGCGTCGGAGATGTGATCCGTGAGACGCATCTCGCGCGAAATGCGACGTGGAATGGGAATCCCGAGGCCGCTGACGTCAGAGTCTCGTAGACTGGTTGATGATTAGTTTGTTTTTTTTTCTTTTTTAATCAAGGATAATAAAACAGTAATTCAGACTTGTGGTTGGTGGATAAGTTTATCTCGTCCGGTTGCGTGGTTCGCACTTATTTTTCTCGTGTTCCGTTTGGTTACTGTTCTCCCTGTTAGCAGGAAGAAAATTTTGCCTGACGTTTAGCACAAAATTTATTTCAACTTTTAAAACATTGAGCAATTTTATAGTTTATAAAATCTGATAAGTTTTTTCTTCAAATAAATCTGATAATTTATTATAATATGATAAACTAATCTTATCAATATTTAAGACTAAGCGTGGCCGAATTGATAGTCGAAATTTCAAAGTTTCATCAAATGTTGTACTAGAGATCTACTCCATCCGTAAAAAGAAAATATAACTTTGGCCTATGGATCTGTACATAATAATATAACATATGTTCAGATTCATAGCTAGAAATTGTTTTTATGGACAGATGGTGTAGATGTTTTTTTTTAACGGAGAGAGTAATATATTGAACTGGATTATGCATCATGAATGAAAATTATAGATTGACAATGCAATTTTACAACAATGAAAAGATAACTAGGCGCACTTACCAAAATACCATTTATGTATAGTTTATTTAGAAGGGGAAAAGCACAAGAAAGCAGTAGTAATACATTTTAGTTTCATTCGTGGCCTGCGATGGCGACGACAAGTTTATTCAATCAAATAACATACACTGCGCACAACTATAGTAGCAGAGACCTAGATCCGCGTAAGAATACTCTCGGATCGTCAGATCAGTACCCACCGGTGAACTTGGACTTAAGCAGCTCGACGACGCCGGCGTCCACCCGGAGCGCCTTGACGAGCACCGGCGTCGGGATGGGTGGGTTGGAGCCGAACAATGTGAGCGGGACGAAGACGATGCCAGGGTTCTGGCTGTTGAAGGACACCACCATGGTGGCCTCCGTCTTGCCGACGTTGAACTGGAAGTGCATGAGCCCCCGCGGGATGACGAACGTCTCGCCGCCGCGGACCACCCTGGAGTAGTACCTGTTCCCGGTGTCGAGGCTGCCGATGATGCCGACGAGGAGCTCGCCGCGTAGCACGATGCCGACCTCGGTGGCGCGCGGGTGGACGTGCGGCGGGTTGGTGCCGCCGGGCGCGAAGTCGATGCGGTTCATGGACACGCCGAGCGTGTTCACCCCGGGCCACCCCGCGACGTCGAGCTGCGTGACGTTGGAGCCGTTGGGGTTGGCGTTCACGTCGCCGCCCGTGGCTAACCTGGAGGAGAAGAGGAACTCGTCGCCGGCCGCCGGCGTGGGCTTGCACGGGTACCCGTTCAACGTCACCTCGCTGTCGAGGTCGGCGACGCAGAAGTCTTGGAGAGGGTCAGGGTCGTTGGCCCGTAGCACCGGCGCCTGCTGCAGGAGCAGCACGACGAGCACCACCCCAGCTAGGGTAGTTTTGAAGCACTCCATTGCTAATCAACGAGCAAAGCTAGCCAATTCTTGTATATGTTCCTCAGGTCTCGGCTCAATTTCTTTGAGTAATGAAATGGCACCTGGCAGAGGCAGTAGTATAGAAGCTACTTTGCTAATTGGGTGCCGATGATCGAGCTAGCTTTGGAGCCTTTTATATAGGGGCAACAATTGCTTTACGATACTCTAGATTTCTAGCGTTTGCTTCTGGACGCTCTAATTTTCTGATTGTAAAAAGATGCTCTGACAATTATTTTAATATATACCCTCTCTAATCCAAAGAGAACGTTTGCAAAAGACGTTTTACCCTTCGACTACCATGAAAGATTTAAATTTAAACAAATTTTGGCTGAATATAAACAATGTTTTGTGGACGATTCAAAACATTTCCCGAATTGTGGAAATCCAAAACTTTTTATGCAAAATTGTTTAAATTCAGCCAATATTTGTTTAAATTTTATTTTATTATTTTTTAATTTCTTTTCCAATTGTCATTTATGTCATTTGGGACATGGTTTGAATTTTGCAAAATATGTTTAAATTCAACTTAATTTGGTTAAATTTAAATCATGATAGGTGGGCCAAGGATAAAATCATCTTTTCCAAAATTTCATATCTACAATGGACAAAGATATGTTAACATATTGGTCAGAATATCTTTTGACAATAAAGACAAAAGGATGGGACACAAAAACTCAAATGTCCTATGGTAAAGCTGATAAAAAATTAGAGTGTCCTAGAAGAAATTTTGCGTTATATATAGGCGAGCATGCTACATGGGCAATGCATATCGATCCCTACGTACAGGGATCAAGATTTTTTTCTAAGAGGCACAGACCGCCAAAGGAAACATCAAAACAACCAGTAATTTGAATTTGTTAGCCAACCTTCGAGAAATGCCAGCCAAGTCTAGAGAGCAAGGTAAATTACATTTCATTTGCGATTAACCGTGAGGCACAAGCAACAACAACGCAGTAGGGAGGAGTGCCTGATTTTTTCTGCAAAAACCGACGCCCAATTTCTACTTGCGTGCAAAGATAAATAATAGAGAAAACAATGTAAGAGAAGTGTGATGGAATGGAATGGAACTTGAATTTCAGAAGGAACCTATGGTTTAAAAGAGAGCTATGAAAAGGCTGAAAAGTTTGCTAGAAGAGGTAGTGTTAAATGAGATCAACACAGCCTCATTTGGAACGGTGGGAAATCCACTGCGAAATCCTTGTATAGAGAGTTAGGCTGCGTTCGTTTGGGTGATAGGGAGTGAGAATGCACATCGTTTTCCGCGCGCACGCTTCCCAAACTACTAAACGGTGTGTTTTTTGCAAAAATTGTCTATATGAAAGTTGCTTTAAAAAACCATATTAATTCATTTTTGAAATTTAAAATAGTTAATACTCAATTAATCATGAGTTAATGGCTCACCTCGTTTTGCGTATCTTCCCAATCTCCTCAATCCCTTCTCCTCAAACACAACATTAGAGAGACTATCTACCTTAGGTGGGGGTAATTGAGAGCTATGAGCTAGCTATGTTTGAAGAAGCCAAATTCCGTTAGAAATCAAACACTTGATCTGATGGGTCTTTTTTTTTCCTTATCAGAAGAGATCGTTTAATTAATTCAATGTGCAGTTTAATTAAACCCTAAAACAAAATTGGTGAGCTCTGAAAGATGAAAGAGACGTTTTTGGGGGTAATTTGCTAGGTGCCGACCCGTCAATATCCTGTCTTGGTGTTGTTCCTATCATGCAAATGGGTGGTAAGAGAAGCTAGCTTAGAAGAGGTTTGCATCCCCAGCAACCTATCATTTTCTGCAAACTCAATTTTGTGTAAGAACCTTGTTATTTACTTCATCCATTTCAAATTACATGCCGTTCTAGCTTTGTCCTAAGACAAGTATTCTTTTTTATGTTTGACAACTAATGTCTAGAAATATATGTAGTTTAACAACATACGAATTATATATATTATAAATTCATTTCTTGTGGTTAGTAAAAAGATATATATTAATATTATGATGTTAAAAAATATGAATGTCTAGAAATTGATAGTCAAATATATAAATGTTTGGCTTAGATAAAATTAGAATGCTAAGTAATTTAAAATGGAGGTAGTAATTATCTTTAGGCTTTTATTGAAAAAAAGCAGATAGATCATAGATGTATAAGAAAGCTACAGACTATCAGGGGTAGAGAGTGTGTGTTTTGTACTTGGTTACGTTTCTTGCTTTGTTTATTTGCCCATCCAATTTGTAATCCTCACCTGATTAAACACATGATTTATTATTTTTTTATCTCTAGGGACTAGGGAGAACAATGACTTCTCGACTTTGATAACGGTGACTTTAGCTATCGATTGATGGAAACATACCATAAGGGCACCCACAATGGTTATCTATAAGCTCTCTACAAGAGATCCATGTCAGCATATTTTCCTACTTGGAAGAGATTAAATGAAGAGAGAGAGCAAAGCTATCTACTAACATGGAGATAGTCTATAGAGAAAAACGAGGCAATGGATTAGAGAGCTATAGATACCCATGTAGACATACCATTGAAGTGGTTTACTATTAATCTAGTCTATTGTTGAGGTGTACATGTTTTATAGATAGCACCTTACTTTACCATTGCGGGTGCTCTAAGACTTCATTACTTCAGTACGGATTTATCATATCATTAGTATATTATATTTTTACTTTTCACTCATTTAAAACTTCTACTAGATGTACCACTAGGTCTAATATAATAGTAGAATGGGTAAATTTCACAAAACCCAAACTATTATAAAACTACATATATCAGATGATGTGTCATAAACTAAATTACAGATTTAGTATCAAATTTGTTGGTGAACTATAATTTTAAGATAATGTGTCACAAACTATACAATTTAGTAATGAAGTTCACAAAACTATACAAGCTTAGCACCAATTTAACTATAAAACTACAATTAATGTTTACTCTACCTCCAGGGGCGGAGCTAGAACAAAATGGAGAGGGGTGCCATTCGCTTGCTTTACTCTACTTTAGGCCGAGTTTAGGTTGATATGAGTGCCTGAGTTTGGATTGAAGGGGTGCCTATATGGTAAAAATAGATGAACTACAACTAAAAAAATTTATTGACCGGGTTCCTGGGCACCCCCCCCCTCTTCAATGTAGCTCCGCCCCTGTCTACCTCACCTTCATGCCTCAAGTGGACTCTTCAGGTGACAACATAGTTCCGGATGTCTGGAACAACGACGATGACACACTTGATATCATGAATTTCTTGCAAGTGTTGTGCTAGATGTATCCCATTGCTGTGGTGTCCTTAGTAGCAATGTCCCTGTCAGATTGGTTTTGTTAGAACGGTGGTAAGATTTGGACGACCGACTAATTTACATCTTATTTACTTTCCGACATTATCTTTCATTGTAGTTCTTATCAGCCATTATGTCAGCGACATTCGATCGGTAATGATCATTCGATGTTTCGGAGATTCTAGTTCTTAGTTTGAGGAAGACAAGTACAACATACAACTTAGAAGCCACTGGGAAACAATGGTTATATAGATTCTCGTGAACTATAGAGGGAGGTTTTATAACTGTGTTTAGGTTGGTTGTCGAAGTAAATACCCGTATCATGGGGGTCGGGAGACAAATGATTCGCCTATAAACCGGTGTAAATACCATCAATTATATATTGAAAATGCAATTTGGAAACAACGAAAAGATAATTGCACATACTCGGTAATTAAACACACACATTTATTTAATTTGTTGCAAAAAACATCACAAAGAAGTACAATTTGGTTTCATTCCCACAACATGGGAGGTAAAGCTTATTCACTCCAATAACATGCAACCGCCTCGCGAGAGCTTTTAGTTACGCTGCTGGTAGAACAGAACCAGCAGAGACAACCATGAAAATGTTCTCCGGTTAGTTATTAGTACCCACCGGTGAACTTAGACTTGAGCAGCTCAACTACGCCAGTGTCCACACGCAGCGCCTTAACGAGCACCGGCGTCGGGATGGGCGGGTTGGAGCCAAACAATGTGAGCGGGACGAAGACGATGCCAGGGTTCTGACTGTTGAAGGACACCACCATGGTGGCCTCCGTCTTGCCGACATTGAACTGGAAGTGCATGAGCCCTCTCGGGATGACAAACGTCTCGCCTGCACGGACCACCTTGGAATAGTACCTGTTCCCCATGTCGAGGGTACCGATGATGCCGACGAGGAGCTCGCCGCGGAGCACGATGCCGACCTCAGTGGCGCGCGGGTGGACGTGCGGCGGGTTGGTGCCGCCGGGCGCGAAGTCGACGCGGTTCATGGACACGCCGAGCGTGTTGACGCCGGGCCACTCGGCGACGTCGAGCTCCGTGACGTTGGAGCCGTTCGGGTTGGCGTTCACGTCGCCGCCCGTGGCTATCTTAGACGAGAAGAGGAACTCGTCGCCGGCCGCCGAGGCCGGCTTGCACGCGTGCCCGTTCACCGTGACCTTGCTGTCGAGGTCGGCGACGCAGAAGTCCTGGAGAGGGTCCGCGTCGGTGGCCCGAATCAGCACGGGCGCCTGCTGCAGGAGCAGCACGACGAACACCACTCCAGCTGTTATGGTTTTGAAGCTGTGCTCCATTGCCAATCAACTAGCGAATTACTTCTTCGATCAGGCTGACAGTAGCAGTGAGGAGACGAGCTGGCTAGCTAGCTTGTTAATTTGCTACTTTAAATTGCTTGGGTGTTGATGAGTTAGCCTAGCTTTGGTGCTATGGTGCCCTTTATATAGGGAAGCAACCATGCACATCGAGCTATGCATCATTCATTTTGCCGTTTTGCGTTGCTCGCGTGACAAAATTAACAATTCAGTTATGGGAAGATTAGTGTGGCATCGAAATCCATCATGTGACAAAACTACGGGTCAACAGTCAAACTGCCATAAAGAGGCTGCTAAGGAATAGAGATAGTAAGAGACTAGCCTGTACTGTATCAGCCAGGACCTATATAGCTAGCAACATATATACTCCTACATACTCCATGCATGCCTCTCTCAGAAATACAGATGATTTATTCAATTATTTTCTTCTCTAATGAGGAATAATGACTTTATCCCTAATTAGTTCTCTACTAATTTTCAATATTATCTAT